AAGGTGAGCAGTTCGAGACCACCAGTGGCTCCATGGGAGAAAGATGAAGCTTTCTGCTCCTGTAAAGATTTACAGCCTCAGAAACCCTATGCAGGGTCGCTGTGAGTCGGAGCTGACTCCATGACACTTAAAAACAACAACGCTAATATTATCTGTTCTATATAAGGGGTCCTGGTGTGGCACTGTGGGTTAACGCACTGGACTGCAAGGTCGGTTTGAACCGCAAAGTTGATGGTTCAAGCTCACCAGCAGCTCCTAGGAAAGTCTATACAGGGTTGCTATGAGTTGGGACTGACTCAATGGCACTTAACAACAACATTCTATATAAAGACTCTTAGTGTGGCACTGGACTGTGAACCACAAGGTTGGCAGTTTAAACCCATCAGCCTGCTCCTCAGAAACCCTATTCAGGATTGCTATGAGTCAGAACTAACTCAACCACACATAACAATAACAAATTCTGTGTAAAGAGCTCCCAGAAGTCAATAAGAAAAAAATACCCAGAAAATGTCCCATAGAAAAGTAGACCGAAAATATGCATAAACAAGCTGAGGATAAATGCCAGAGCCTGTATGAAAGGGTTGGACTTGGTTCATCGTTGTCAGGAAAACGCAAATGAAAACAATGAAACATTTTCACCTATCAGATTGGCAAGCACTGAAAAGATCAGTAACAACCAGAGTTGGCAAGTGTGAAGAAAAAGATGTTTTCTTATGTTAGCAACAGCTGCTGGCCAAGCCAAGTAGAGTCAGCAATTCCTTGTGGGAGGGGAGTTTGAAGGGTGGTTTCCACATTGCAGATGAGATGAGATTCCAAGGGTTGTAAAGGGTGATAGTCTCATTGTGTGGCAAAAAAAGAAAAATCTGAGGCCCTGTCAGAGGGGACCTGCTCTTAGCTGGGTTGTAAGCAAGATTGGGAATCCCTGGGTAAAGTGCACAGTTAACATGCTAGGCTGCTAACCAAAGGATTAGAAGTTCTAGTGGAGTCTCCTTAGAAGACCCTCGGAAACTGTAAAACAATACATTTATGTTGTTTTAAGCCACCATTCTGTGCTACTTGGTTATGGCAGCCTTAGGAAATAGATACACGTGGTCTTTATAATCTATTACACAAACTCATTGTAAACAATTGGTCAAGACACTTAACCCATTTTAATAAAAGGATTTAATAATGGGGTCTTCCTACTTCTGTGATCTATTTTTGAAATTGTGCCAGACACTGAACATGACAAAAGATGCCCAACCTCACTAATTAAAACAGAACCCCCCAAAAAGCTAAATGAAAATAAGATACCAGTTCCTGCCTATCAGATTAGCAGTCTATAAAGAGCAGGAAAGTCCAGTCAGCAATGTTAAATATCACAGGGATGAATCTGGAGGACATTATGCGGAATGAAATGAGTCAACCACAAATATTGTATGAGATCACTATTGTAAAAAGTTAAAAGGTTTTCTTGATAAACAAACATTCTATGATAGCTGTGGTGGAGTTGTGGGACATGGAGGGAAAAATGAAAAAAATAATAAAAGAATGTTAAGAATTGAAAGAAACAAACTTATACCTACTTAGCAAGTCTGTAAATGGGCACAACCTTCCTGGGAAAATACATTGAATATGTTTATATGTATATGTCTTTGGATGTGATTCCTATTCTGAGAATTTATCATGAGGACAAGAGCACAAAGATAAATATTCAAGAACATGGATAAGTAAGAAGTCTTGGACACTGAGAACAATAGTCACCCTGATTACTATGTTTCTCAAGATTCTGAGAAATTACGACTGCATTTCTCACCGACAAAGTAAGGCTATTTCAAACAGAGCAATCAGTGATGTGTCTGGAAAACCCACAGATAGATGTTTCTAATTGAGAATGTTCTATTTGTCATGGGCAAGACTGCTAATACTTTCCAAACCCACATTGCTGTTTGTTAAATATTTTAGAAACACCCCATGTTTGTTGAAAAAGGTGATGTATCATAGACCAAGAAGAATGCTCATGACTTAAATCATAATAATAAATCCAGGCAGGAAAAGAGAGCATCTTCTGGTGGGTAAATTGCTATTTTCCATTGCAGCAGCTAGATGATCAGTCTCCCCCTCTAGCATCAGTCATAGGCTGAGAGGAAGTATCTGTGTTCAAAACTCTGCCCGCAGCACAATCATTTCTGCCATTGTCTCTGACAAAAACTGAAGACAGGTTTGAAACTGAGCCAATAAACATATTAGTAAACACACCCCAAAAAAGAGATAGAAAACAAAACAGTATACAAAACAGTATAGTTTATAACAGCATTCCTCATCCCCCCGCCACAAAAGGCAAAAATGAAAGGAAACAACCTAAAAGTTCATCAGTAGGAAGCTAGTTAACTCAAGTATATTGTTGTTGTTGTTGTTGTTGTTAAGTGCCATTAAGTTGATTCCAACCCATAGCAATCTGATATAGGGTTTCCAAGGAAAGGTTCGTGAGTTTGAGCAGCCAACTTTGCTGCTACCAGTCCAGTGCTTATCCTTCAGTGCCACACCAGAATAGACATAGGTATATACATGAAATAGATCATATATACCCTCTCCTCACTTATTGACATGGTTTCAAAGACCAGGTTGTTATGCAAAAATCAGCATTATGAAAAAAAAAAAAAAGGATAACCACATCAGATCACAGCATGGAAGATAGCTACATCATTACATAACTGAAACCACTGAGGATCATGGCCCAGCCAAGCTGATACACAGCCTTACCTATCACAGTCAACCTTATTCTCACTTCGCACCTTGGTACTCATTACTGCCAGACTTGTTTCACTCATATGCAAAATAGTTGGATAGTAGATTTGTTACTATCATCATAAATACAAACTGTCAAATAATGAGATAGTCAATAAGTGAGGTGTGGCGCTGCAGGATAATACACTGGACCTCGAGGTCGGTTTGAACTGAAAGGTCAGTGGTTTGAACTCACCATCTGCTTCTAGGAAACCCTATACAGGGTAACTGTGAGTTTGAACCAACTCAATGGTACTTAACAACAACAGGGTGTTTTAGAATTGAGGTGGCTTCATACAATAACCACTGGACTGTGAACCACAAGGTCTGAGGTTCAAGTCCACCAGCTGCTCCATGGAAGAAAGATGAGACATTCTGCTCCTGAAAAGATTTAAACCCTCAGAAACCCTATACAAGGGAGTCCGAACTGACTCCACAGAGCTTAACAACAACAAAACAGGGCTATTTTACTCACACAAGTCCACAAAGATGTTTGCTGCAACACTGTTTAGAATTGTTAAAAATTAGAACCAAGCTCAATGTCCATTAGCAAGGACTGATTTAATCAAAGGACATCCATACAGATGAAATCTGGGAGGCCACTAAAATGAATGAGTTAGATTCATGTTACTGACATGTAAACTGTCCATAACAATTTGGGGGCAAAAGCAAGTCTAGAAGCATGTATGCAAAACAATCCTATTTGCCCAAAATCATACAAATGTAGGGTTTTTATATGTCAAAAACTTCTCCTGTGGCATATGCCAAAGCTTTAACAAAAATAAAAGCCCAAGCCTACTGCCTTTGTTATGGTGTTGGAGGAGACTATTGAAAGTGTCATGGGCTGCCAAAATAAACAACAGATCTGTGTTGGAAGAAGTGTAGCCAGCATGCTCCTTGGAGGCCAAGATGGCCAAACTTCTTCTCTAGTACTTCAGACATATTGTCAGGAGGGACCAGTCGCTGGAGAAAGATATCATGTTTGGTGAGGTGGAGGGTCAGAGAAAAAGAGGAAGATCCCCAGCGAGATGGATTGGCAAAGTGTCAGCATCAGTGGGCTCAAGCTTGACAACTATAGTGAGGTTGACCCAGGATCAGGCAGTGTTTTGTTCTGCTGTGCATAAGGTTGCTATAAGTCGGTATCAACTTGATGACACCTAACAACAACAACAACTGCCTTTGAGGTCTGATTCAGTGATCCACTAAGACACAGTAGAACTACCCCATAGAGTTTCCAAGGCTGTGAATCTTTATAGAAGCAGACTGTCACATCTTTCTCTGGTGGGCTTGAACCAAAAGCTTGGAGAAGCTTTTGGTTAGCAGCCCAGGGTTTAGCCACTGTGTATAAATCTGGGGCTTATATTTTCTGTGCTGTTTGAATTTTTACAGTAATCATATTGTAGAAGTCTTGGCACGGCGCTGTAGGATAAGCACTTGACCATGAGGTTGGTTTGACCGATAAGTTCGGCGGTTCAAACTCACTAGCTCTTTCTCAGAAACCCGATACAGAGTTGCTATGTGTTGGAACCCACTCGACAGCACTTAACAATAACAATATAGTGAAATATGGCTCAATCACAATTGGGCAAAATGACTAGTAAAAAATCTTGTTCTGGCTACCAGAGGCATAGTGAAAGGAAAGAAGTGTGTGTGTGTGTGTGTTCCAGGGGCGAGGGTAGCCAAGGTGCCAGCTGAGGTGACTCAAACACAGCCACACTTCCCAGCTGAGGTGCTGGCTTAAGGCCTTGAGCCCCAAGCCTGCACAAGACAAAACAAAAACAGAACCTAGTTGCCAACAATTCCAGCTCATGGTGATCCCATGTACAACTGTTCTCCATTGGGTTGTCAACAACTGATTTTTCAGAAATAGACTGCCAAGTACCTCTGAGTGAACCAAAACATCCAACCTTTTGGTTAGCAACTGAGTGCATTAACCATTTCTACCTTCCAGGGTCTCTGGATATGACACAGGTCCTTAGTGCTCCTTATAAGCAAAGATGGAGAAGACACATCTCTAGGAACCCAAGAATCAGTGACCACACAGCAGCAAGACCGAGGCTGTGTGTCTTAGCAAGGGCCTGACTCACCAACCCCACCTGCCAGTAGGGTGACCTGGGACAAATGATTTGCCTCCCAAGGAACTCAGTAGTAGGTTTTTAAATTGGTCCCCTTAACCACAGACCCTGAAACATCAGAGGCCCAAATCGCCCCTCTTCCTCCCTACAACGCCATACCTGCAGCCCAGCTCTGTCCAGCGCCCGGCACAGTATGCCGGCTGCCTAGCGATGTGGGCCCGTGGAATTCGGGGACATGGGGAGGCCAGCGGCACCATAGCCAGCCTCTCCATCTGGGCAGCAAGGAGAAAGGCAGGCTCTGGCATGGGTCGACTCCCTGGCAGCTCCTGGCAGGCTGCAGAACTAATGCTGTGGAGTTGACTCACTGGGCAATGCCAGTAGGAGGCGGGATGCAGGACCCATGGGCACACCCAACTCCCAGACACACCCAACCTCCTCTCAGAGGGGCCGGCTCTGCCAGAGCCACCTACAAGCAAATACACACACACACACCCATGAGTCGCGCCCGCCCACACCGGATGGTGAGGAGAAATGCACCTTGCAAACAACCATACTCCAGTATTTGTGCTGCCATTATCACTAGTTGCAGACATCTTTCAAATGAACCCGAATTCAAAAAGTACCTCGTGTATGGTGGTGGTTGTGTGCCGTGGAGTCGGTTCCGACTCACAGTGACCCTGTACAGGGTTTCCGAAGCTGGAAATCTTTATGGGAGCAGAAAGCCTCATCTTTCTCCCACTGAACAGCTGGTAGTTTCGAACTGCTGACCTTGCAGTTCGCAGCCCGATTCATAACAACTACCTTGTGTATATGGATGGAAAAAAGCAGTCAAGGACCAGCAGTCTTAGCCCAGGCATGGCCATCCCTTTGTGACTTTAAGCAGGTGACTGGACTCCTCTGAGCCTTACTGTCCTCTGTGAATATGGTCTTCTGTGAATATGCTGTCATCTGTGAATATGGGGAAGGTGACATACTCCCTGCTTTCCAGGAGACAGGAAGACAAGCAGGTAGGAGTGAAGCAGGGGTGAGGATGCAGGATGCTAAGGGAGTAGGAATCAGGAGTGGCCTATTCTGGGGGTCCAGGAGAGTCCCCCATTGGGAATGTTGACTTTGAGCCTGAAATCTGAAGGATGAGGAGTTGGCAGTAAAAGATTGGGAGAGAGGGAGGAAGATGGGGAACTTTATTTCCTCCTCTGTAAAATGGGGTTTTACTCATTCTCTCAATAATTATTTATTGAGACCCTACTAGGGGCAGTTACAATGGGATCTGAGAAAAAAGAAGGGAAGGCTTCCTGAAGGAGGTGGTGTCTCAGCCAAGATTAGAACTGGGGACCAAACTGGAGCCAATCAGGTAAGAACAGGAAATGGAGAGGGTGCTGGTGTAAAGAATGGTGTGTGTGAAGGCGTACAAGAGTAGCACAGAGGTACATGTGAAGAACACCCCTCCCCACTTCCCTGGCATGTGCTTTCCCCAGATCTGCTATGGGCCAAGAGGCCCTCCTTGAATGCCATCATCTTCCCACAGAATCCCTGGAGTCTCTTGCCCTCCTCAAAGGTTCCAGATGTTGGTGGTCCTCTCAGGTGACACTAAGAGATGCCCAGGGTACACCTCAAGGAGCCTATCCAAGTTCACAGGTCACTATGATCTGGAACTCTGCTCTGACCTAGGAAAGACAAGAGGTGAGGTCCAAGATACTGGCACTATCACTCCCTGGAGCCATAGTGCCTAGGGTTATATATGACCCCTGCATCCAAGAGTGGGATAGGCCCAGGACAAAGGGCTCACTCAAGACCTTTGGGTCTCACGAGGCTACCATCGACTCTGAAATGCACAGACTGTCCACTTCTCCTGAGCCCCCTTCTGAGAAGAAGACTGGAACCACACCACTGGAAGTCAAGGAGTCAGAGTCCTCCCAATATGTGGTTTGAATTAGGAGCAAAAGTGGGTGAAAAGTGCTCTGGGAGCTATAGGAGCTTTGTGTGGAAAACAGAAGGTGCTTAATAAAGGATGGATGGATGAAAGGTTATATGGGAAAATGGGTACATAAGAGGAGGGATGGAAAAGAAGACAATTGAACAAGAGGATGAATGGAAAGATGGGTGGGTGGATGGTGGGTTGATAAATGTATGTAGGTATAGATGGGTGGGTGGATGGATAGATGGGTGGCTAGATCTGATGGATAGATGGATGGATGGATGGATGGATGGATGGATGGATGGATGGATGGATGCAGAGGGCAGAGGTGGTTTGGTGGATGGGTAGGTAGATGAATATATGTATGTATGTATGGGTGGATGGATGGATGGGCAGATGGGTGGATGGATGGGTGGGCAGATGGATAGATTGATGGGTGGATGAGTGGCTGTGTACATTAATGTGGATGAATAAAAGACTGAGTAAACCAGTGAACCACTGGGCGAATGAGTGGATAAGTAAATGAGAAAAATAAATATATAAACAATTGCATGAGTAATTAGTACCCGAGTGAATAAACTTCTAGTCCAAAACAGAGTACCTAACTTGCTGTCTCCTCTCTCAAGTGCAGGGACCCTCCAAAGGAAGCAAGAAGGGTGAGAGACTAGCCTGAGTTTTGGGTGCCCTCTACTTCCAAGTCTCTTTTAAGGAGGTAGCCACCTCTCGGCAAGCCAAGTGTACTAGAATGAAGCTGGGAGAAGTGTGCCCCACAACATTCTTCAGCCTCAGGTGGGCCCTGTCAGGAGTATCGGCCAGGCTAGTTATGTCACAGTGACTCAGAGCCTGGCAGCCTGCCAGCACCTCCCCAGACAGCCTGTGAGATCCGGCCAACCTGCTCACCATATTCAAAACACATCCCACACCCTTAGATCCACAAAGCCACCCAGACAGCCCCCTCCCAAGTGTCAGGCAGTGCAGCCTCATAGACTGGTCTGAGACTCAGTTCTGCCACTTAGGATATGTGGCTTCAGGTAATGAAAGTTCCAGCTTCTTCATCATTTAAATGAAACATTGTTTATCTCGAGGGTTTGTTGGGAGGTCTCAGTTGGATAATACATGTCAAGCATGAAATTGTACCTGGTACACGATGCATGCTGTGTACCCTACTTCCAGCAGTTTACTGAGCACTTACAAGGACAAGAAGCATGTTCTCACTGCTTTCCATACATTCCATGTTACTCATGACCACCTCACAAGGAGGGAGTTGACCATATTTATAGATGATGATCCTGAGATTCAAAGGGATGGTGGTGAGAAAATGGGGCTTGCACTGGGATTCCGGACCCTTGGATCCAGGGTCTGGGGAGAACAAGGGTGTGCCTGGAAGATGTGTCATGGTGAGCGGTGGGGTTGGACGAATGTTCCAAAGCCAGATGGATCCTCCATCACTGGCACTTCTATAACTCCCCAATCCCAGCCCTACATATGTCTTAGACCAGGTGACGACAGGCTCCCAGCTTCCCTGCCTTCCTTAGAGTACAGGAGATCTCCCCACTTATGTACTGTGTTTCTATGTGCTTCCTACCAACATCAAAAACAGAGCTTTCAACTCCATCATTTGAGTTCAGGAAAAGTCGGAGGTGGGTTACTGTGGAGCTTGAGAAACTCATGTAGATTAAGGCTGAAAAGATGGGTTAATAGACTCCTGTTAACCTGGACTGAGACCTGATTCACCAGAAGTATGACGAGACCTGGGGACTCCTGGGCCCAGGGATAGGGACATGGCCCCAGAGGACTAGAATGGAGTGTGAAGCCTCCAGCTGATATAAAGAGAGGGGTGATGAACAAGAACACCCACACTTGCAGATAGTACCCATTTGACCTGGCATCAATGGCTGGATGATCAGAGCACGACTAGAAGAAGTAAGAAGAGGGACGCAAAAAAGAAAAAGAGGAGTAACCCACTATAAGTGGATGATCTTGACCTATGCTTGTGGATGTAGTATGACAATGGAGCGGACAAATCTCTACAGTGAGGATCATTCCCACCCCTTTGGTACACAGGGTCAACAGGGAGGGGGAACTTAGACATTGGCTACCTAAAGTGGGGGGACTACAAAGGCAAGAAGTGACTGGCTTACAAGCTTTCAATAGGGAACCTAGCTCCAGAGGATACAAGGAAAGGTAGAACCTCCACTGAATTGTGTCCAACCTGTCTGGATGGGGTTAATAAAGGTGAGG